ACAGAGGCCGAGAGCTTTGGGTAAATTGAAGTGGCATATATTACTGTCACTAAATCTCTCTTCTTTCAGTGACTTGGTATCCATAATGTTCTACTTTATAGTTCCAGACCTGACAAATGAAGTAAAACCTAATATCCTGCTAATTTTGCTATGCTCCCCCATCACCTGATAGCACCAATCATTTTTTGTCTTCTTTAAAAATCAAAGACTGGCCGGGTGCAATGGCTCTCGCATGTAACCCTAGCACCCTGGGAGGCTGAGGCAGGAGGATCACTTGAGCTCAGGAGTTTGAGACCATCCTGAGCAAGAGTGAGACCCTGTCTTTACTTAAAAAACAAACAACAACAACAAAACCCAAAGACTCAAATTCCCAATCCTTTACCACTGCACAAATTTAATGTTCATCCAAAGACAATGATTATATTTCTAGTAAGCAATTCAAGTACAGATAAATATGTTGTGTACAGTATAGTAAAAAGAACATGAGGCTTTTAGAATTGGACAGATTTGTGGTAAAATCCACACATTCCCATTTACAAACTCTCAGATTTGGGGCCAATTACTTAATCTTTCCGAAGCATATTTTTCTCGCTTGTAACTGTATCTCAGAGAATTGGGATGTTAGACAAGCCTAGCATAAAGGGGCAGTGTTCAAAAAATGTTATTCTCAGCTGTAACACCAACCCAAATATAATATATCTAAGTCAACATATATAATTATCAGTTCAAGAAGTCTTATTTTTAAAGGATATTTCTATATGTACCACTACTACCAAACAGTAGATACAACAGAGCCATTTATCAACTGGCACTTTATATATCGTAACAGTCACATCAGTGACAGTAATGAATAAAGTATGACAAAGCCTTGCAAATAACCAAATAGAAAACTTTCTAAAATAATTTTTCTTTCTTTTAGAAATTTTTTTCTGCTTTCAAAAAACTACTCTTTCCTTTACTCTTAAATTCAATGGCTTTCCTAGGCTTTTGAAGTCAAATGATCAAATAAAAATGGTCAGAATATTAAAGGCAAATGATAAAGAATAATACCATGATCTGCTGGAATGGGTAATTTCTAAAGGGAATTAATAGAGATGTATAAAAATGACGATGATCTGAACTTACAGGGCACCTTTTGAGGAAGGAGTTCTCTATACTCTTTGTTCTGTAGTTTATTGTCTATCATACAGGAGAGGCAGGGATCATGCTGCTATATGGAGTGATTATCTAAATTAATAATGTATAAAATATAAGCTAAAACACATTTGTTGATCATTTTAGAGTGTGTGACTTGCTTTTCCAATTAACAATGAAGGTATGAATGGAACCCATATGTCTTGATCCCCCCACTGTAGCAATATAGAAATAAATTATAATATGTTAACATTTCATAATTTTAATATACTTATTTTGTATTCTACTTACATTGTACCAAGATAAATATTACAATATTTATAATATCTACTACTTAACAAGAGATGAATATAAGCCCTATATTGTGCTAAATAATTTCTCACAATTTTCTATTAACTCCTTCTATAATTCAGGCATATTTTTATCTTGACCCATTCTTCTATAAGATGGATTTATTTCTCTTTTCCTACTGCTAATTCTCTAGCTATGCTCTGATATGATCCCATTTTTCTCACATACTTTGGAACTCTGTTCCATAAAACTTTGTTCCAAAGTCTGTGTGAGCTTCGTTCACATAAAAGTCTTCTATATCTACTTTTTTTATCTCTCTCTCCAAGTAGTCCATTTTTGTGTAATGGCTTTCCTGACTCCCTCTACTATTCTTTTTTCTTTTTTCTTTCTTTTTTTTTTTGAGACACAGTCTCACTCTGTTGCCTGGGCAAGAGTGCAACAGCGTCAGCCTCGCTCACAGCAAGCTCAAACTCCTGGGCTCAAGCAATCCTTCTGCCTCAGCCTCCCAAGTAGCTGGGACTACAGGCATGCGCCACCATGTCCAGCTAATTTTTTCTATATATTTTTAGGTGGCCAATTAATTTCTTTCTATTTTTAGTAGAAACGGGGTCTCACTCTTGCTCAGGCTGGTCTCAAACTCCTGAGCTCAAGCAATCCTCCTGCCTCGGATTCCCAGAGTGCTAAGATTACAGGCATGAGCCACTGCACCCGGCCCCTCTACTATTCTTGTAAGAATTAACCTCTTCTTCCTCAGTGTTCCCAAAGTATTTTGTTCATATTACTAGTATGAATGAGGAAGTATGCTGGGAGCAGCAGTAAGACAAAGGAAAAGAGTAATAGCTTTGAAGTCAGATCTGGCATTTATAAGCTCTGTGACCTTGAGCATATTCCTTGACCTCTCTGAGCTTCAGATTTTTATTCTGTTAAATAGGAAAAATTAACATCCATTCTACAAGACTTTGATGAGGACTAAATGGGAATTAATATAAAGTAAAGTACACATGACTCGTACTCTCAATACGCTGTATTATAATTTGCTATAGGATGGAATGGTCTGTCTACTAAATCAGCGGTTCAGAATTTATTTTTTGGATATTTTAAAAACTCCAAGAAATCCAGATACTACGCCCTTCATTCACTGAAATCAGTGTCCTTGATTATAAACTACATAACATCATAAATGTCCCTTTATACACCTCGGAAGCCCTAATACCAAGTCTAGAACCTTTTATATATTAGATACTTAATATATGCTTATTGTAGTAAAAGGAATTTAGCTGTAGATTCTAAGTAATTACTAGATATGCTAATATGTAACATTATTTAAATCACATTGCTTGGGCTATTTTTCTAACCATATTCCCACTATAATCTAATTAATACCTAGAAAAAGTTCACATATACTTATGTTTACCAGCCCTTTTCTTCTGAGAAGCTCAAGGATTTTTATAGACATTGTCTCACCAATCTTTATAACATCTCTGAGGTAAACAGAGATTGGAAAAAAGATGGAATTATGAATCCATAAATTCATAAATTCTAAAAATTCTCAGGAAAAATTCCATCTGTTTCAGTTTATGTGCATTTGTCATCATTTTCTCTCTGAATCCACCTAAGGTACCTATTTACCCATTACATCTGGATATGCTGACCTGTACTGAAAATGTTTTTATTATTTGCTTAAGAAAGCAAAAATTTCAGAAGGTGTTATATACAGTAAGCAAATCATAGAACACCACAAAAATGACAAACCTAATTGTCTAATAGTACTTCAGCTAACAAAAATAAGACTGCAAAATATTTAGGATTGGACACATTATTTTCTTCAAACATTAATAATAATCAGAGACCTATAAGCCCCCCAGTTTCAGCTTTAACTTCTTTCTGCTTCCCATCATTTTGTTTCCTTGTGCTAGGACTCTCTAGTAAACTTTGCTGATTGCCCACCCAGGAATTATTCTCCCCCTCTTCTTTTTTTCTAAAAATAAATTTTATTGCGTATATTCAAGGTATACAATATGATGTTATGAGATACATATAGATAGTAAAACGGTTACTATAGTGAAGCAAATTAACTTCAAATTAACATATCTATATGACACAATTACCCATTTCTGTTTTTGTGGCAAGAGCAGCTAAAATCTACTCAGCATGAACCCCAAATACATTATTATAAAATATAATTTTATTACCTATAGTCCTCATGTTGTACATTATATCTCTAGACTTGTTCATTCTACATATCTGCTATTTTCCCCTCTCCTTTTTTAACAGAATCCTACTTTTGTTCAGGCAACATCATGCTGAGATAAATCAGCACAGGAGATAAACATGATTGATCCATGAATCCTGGCAATCCTACTCCCTTTGCCCGTAATTGGTCTTGATCAAGAACTGGCCAATAAGTTGAAGGAAGTTGCCGGGGATCATTTCCACCCTGACAAAAGGGTGGTAAGAGGAGTAGGCTCTTTTGCACCCCAGCCAGTTTCTTTGTGTTTAGGAAGTTGTCAGATTGGACCTAATAGAGTTGAGCTACTATCTTAAGAGTATGAGGGGATGACCAAGAGAACATCTGTGATCCCGTCTCTGCACCCAAACATCAATTACCAAGTCTCATAGCTCCTTGTTATGTGAAATAAATATTATTAATATTTTTAAGTCACTGAGGGTCAGATACTCTGTTCCTTGAAGTTGAAAGCATAATTAATACAGACAGACCAATAAATCAGGTGAGAACAGAGGTAGAGATTAATTATTGGGCACTTATATCTTCCATAATCTCATTTAATCTTCCTAACAGCCGGATAAAAATTATTGACCTTTTTTTTTGTTACAGATTAGAAAACTAATGCTTAGTAAAGTTACACAGTTAATAACAAAGCTGAAATTTGAATCCAGACCTGACAATAAACTCACATTCTTTTGAAAAGCATAAAATCTCCTTTTCTCCTTATTTATGACATTTGTTTAAAAAATGACTTTTAAGTTGATATGTTCTCAGCTAACAGAATTTGAGGAGAGCTAAGAAATATCAATTATTCTAACAACTTTGTAATAAAGATCTATAGCCTTCAACTCTGTTTTGTATGAAAGTTATGTGGGATGAAGACAAAAATGTGTGTACGTGTATAAAAAGTTCCAGAATATCTAGCACAATGGGAACAGTACTACAGAAAAGAGTGGGATGGATTCTTTACGTGTAATATTCAATTTCTCAAGAAAAAGTAGAAAGTCAATGACAAATATTTCTTAAACTAAAAGAATAACTTCCTTATTTCAAACTATTACATTAACCAAGTAGCTATCAATATAGAAACCACAAAGTTAACACTTCCTCAATTCTCATCTCTTCATGAAAACTGATTCATTGTAAATCTAGGCAAGAAAAAAAATTATATATGCCATCTAAAAATCAGCAAGGCCATTTTTTATATAGAAATTTATTAGAATTGCGTTTTCAAAAGCTATTTATATTGTCATCTCAAGTATGTTCACCTTATATTGTCTTTATTAATTTCTAATTGAGCATTACAAAATGGGCATGCCAGATTTCTGAGCTTGTACATGCAACTTACCTTCCCACATGCTCTGCAATGATGCCTCCTTTTGGTGAATGTAAACCTGGCTTCACATTTCATGCAATTTGGAGCCTGAGAATCCGGTACCCAAACTGGAGCCACCTCACCAAGAGTGGTAAATGGCTTTCTGGCAGAAATTCCAAACTGGCCAGCTCTGAGATCATTATCTGGGCTATCTGGAGCTAATGCAAGGCACGATCTACTGGAGATTTCAGCTTCATAACTTTCCAAATGTTCTCCATTTGTATCAGCAACAGAGATGTTTCCTAAAGATGCATTGCATACGTTAGTTGCTGAGTTTTCCCCTAATTTTGCTTTCCCAAGAGTATCATTTTTGTTTTTAATATTATTTCCACTGTTCGCAGGAACGTCATTTTGTAAATGGTCTGATAATGGCTTTGGAATTTGAAGTTTAAGATTAGAAGGTTGCTTGGGTCTTGCACCACCAAAAGGAACACTGATAGATTGCAGGTTTGCTACTACCTTGGGGGAAGATTGCCCACGCACTGATGGAACTTGACTACAGAAATTATGTAAATAATTTTTCTTCATTAGGTCACCAGTGCTGTTTAAAAGTAGTCCACTCCCTTCTGTGGCCTCATTTCCTCTCTGTTCATAAATATTTGAGTAGCATTCTGACTTGCTCTCCTCTATTTCTTTCTCTTCTGTTACTGAATCTTCTTTAGAGGGTAAAGTCTTTGGAACAATAGAAACAACTGGGCTCTGCATTCCATAGGAATCACAACCATTAGATAGAGAATTTGCTTCTGGTGTATCTACAACAGTGGAGAAATCACATTCTTCACTTTCATTCATGCAAGGTCCTTTTAAATCTAGACCTGCGTCTGCCACTCCAACACTCTCTCCTCCACCATCACCGTAAGTGTCCTCAGGCTGACTAATCTGTAGAAGCTTTTCCTTTTCTTCATTTACTTGCCTATCATTCATCTCATTTAATTTAGTTAATTTCCAATTAGTCATCTCCTGAGATTCAGAGAAATGCTCTGTCATATTAAGAAATTCTGTAGTGCCAACAAGTTCATGTTCATAACCTTCATTGTCATCAGACCTAACGTCACTAGACACAAGGCAATCTGAAAACTGTTCACAGTTACTATCCCTTTCAGACCCATTAGGCATATCTGGTTTGTGAGGCAAAGGTAAACCAGACCGGAGGGATTCTTCAGTTGTTCTCTCCTCTGCTAACTCTTTTTTTGTCAAGATCCCCTCATTCAAGTGGGAAGAGGTGTTTGGACTCCCTAGATCGGTCCTAGAAAGACTGTTTTTGCCAGTGAGGTCCTCATCTGGTATATAGTTCTCTTGCTTTTTAATAGCAGGACCTCCATCTGTTCCCTGGGATGAGATTACTGAATCAACTGTAAAACCTGTAGTTGCAGATATGGAGGGGTCTCTACTTATATTTTCATCACCCTTTAATTGTGAGGGGGAACAGACATTGGTTAGACTATCAGATGAAGTAGTACATAGATGGTTAACAGAATCCCCCTCTGTTTTTGGTCTATTCAATGGATCCATTTGTTTCTCTGAGTTCATATCTTTTTCAGTGGACCCACTTAAACTAAAACTAAATTGATCAGTTTGTCTGTTTTCATTATCCAGTGAACAACTAAAAGCATCCATAAGGGATTGACTATTATAATTATTACAATCCTGCAAATCGCTTTGTAATGTCCTTTTATCACAATTATGCATGACAGCTACAACAAGAACATTCTTCTCATCTGGCAGACAAGCCAGGTTTCCACATTTCTTCTCTTCCACTTCAACGGCACTGCATTGATCATCCTGATTATAGCTTCTCTTAATTAACTGATCTTCTGCAACAGCATTTTCATCAATCCACATTGTGGCAATCTCTGGATTTAGATTACAGTCCTGTCCATTAGCACAATGATCCTCTCCTTCTGTGGTCGGGGGAGCTGAATGAGCTAGGGAGAAGACTTTCAGCTGTGGCTGTGACTCATTAGAAACTGCAGGTTCATTCACACTGGCCAGTGCAGAGTTAAATGGTAGTCGGTGAGAAGGGGGATCTAGAATCTTATTCCACTTTGTATCCAATAAAGTAGGAGAAACTGTTTCATCTGAAAAAATAAGTAATTACAGTAAGTTTGCTGGTAACACTAAAAAAGCTACTAGGACTAAGTTAACGAACATTTCCAACTATACTCCGAAAACAAAATATTCCTAGAATATGAAGGTTTCTAATTTGGGGCTGGGAATAAGGAATATATTTAAGACAGTTCCCTGCAATTATATGTCATCAAATAATAATATCTCAGAACATTCCAAACAACAAAAGAATTCTACCTCAATCTAGTAACATAATTAAATTGACCCATAGGTGGTAATGGGACCCAAGAGAGGAAAAAGCATCCTTGGATTGTCTGAGCACAAGGCAGGCAGGACAGGAACTAATTTAAGGTGGAAAAATTAGAACAGTGGTTAAGATCTAGTAAATTGAGAGGGAAGGAAAACAAAGAAATTGACTGGGGGGATTAAATGCTATAATCTATATCATGATTAGGATGTAAGTTAGATTAATATATCCATTTGGCAAAACTGGACACTTAAGATCTATGCATTCTAATGTATATAAAGTTTACCTTTAAAAAACTGTAAAAAAAATAACAATGAAACAGAGTAAGGAGAGGATAAAAGTATAAATGTAATAAAAATGGCAGCATGTCAATCACTGTTGAAGTTGGATGATGAGTATACTGGAGTTTACCATTTCTTTAATTTATATATATCTTAAATTTGCCTATAACAAGTTTTTTATAAGTTTGCTACAGTATGTGAAATTCTGCTTGCAACCATATTGCAACACATTATTAATCAGGTTCATATTTATATCATCTGAAGATATTTGGGAAAAAGTATCTATCAACCTACTTATCTATCAATAAGTATAATTTCATATAATGTTTCTGTTTACTTTTTAACAGATCATAACTATGATGGCTAAGTTATTATCCCAAGTTCTACTGCTATTATTTATACCTAAGTAAATTAGAGAAATAAGAAATAATGCACTTAGTGCCTTTGCTGCTTGCTTCCTCCAGTATCTTTGGGAATCATGGTCCTGAAATTATGCAGCTATATTTGTAATATTAATCCTCAGCTGTAACATTAATCTTTAATGCACCCATAGCACCTTGCTCATATCTCTATTAAGGCATTTACTACACTGTAATGCAATCTGTCTCTTTCATCCACTGAATGATTTCTCAAGGCAGAAACCATTTATTTCCATAAATGTAAGTCCTTACTTCATACAGTGCCTGATATTTGGTAGGTATACAATAAATATATGGTATGGTAAGTGAGTATCTACCAGAGTAAAAGCATCGGGTTTGAGGAACATGAAGATTAAATGATAGCTTTTGCCTCCAAAAAGTATATAATCTAGTTGGGAGAATGAGCGATAGACAGAATACACACAAATATCTAATTAGCAGTACAGGGAAGCATTAAGTACAGTGCAATAAGTTGTCACTTAACATGCTCAATAGGTTCTCGGCAACTGCGACTTTAAGCGAAATAACACACTGTATAATGAAACCAATTTCACCATAGGCTAAGTGATATAAACAAGAGTTAAATTCCTATGGTATACAGTACATAGTTTTGTGTGAAGTCACAGTTTCCAAGAACCTACTGACAACATTAAGTGAGGACTCACTGCATTTGAAAACTATTATGTAGGAGTAGAAAATAAACTCAGAGGAGAAAGGTATTTTCCAAGATTGGGCAAGCAAGCTTGAGTTCATAAAGACAGGAGGAACTGAGCTACGCTTCAAAGACAGATTTGTGTAAGTTTAGGCAAAAAAAGGCATTATTAAGTAGAGGAACAAGGAAAAGCATAGTTGCAAACATAAGAATTTAAGAGAGCAATAAGTGAATTAGTTGGGGTTGAGAAAAGAATTACTGTAAGGAAGTAGTGAAAAGAAACTAGAAAGGGTAAAGAGTAAAGGCTAAAACACATCAGATTATGTGAAGAATGGGCTTAGTATCCTCTGAGTGTTAAATCCTGAGTTTATAAAATTTGGACTAGCAGAGATTTGAGATTTAGTTACATAGGCTTCCTTAAAAAAAAAAAAAAAGAAATTATATTTCCAAACTGGTTCCTGGAAATAAAAACAAGACACAGCTTCTTAAAAGACTATTTAGTAATATTCAAACATGAATGAGTAAGTATTAAAATTTTCATTATTCAACCACCTAGGATCTGAGTATAATGTTAATTACCTAGTATCATCACAGTCTGTGGTATATTTTTCATTTAAAAAAAGGAAATAAAGTAGCACAAAATGAAAAATCACTTTATTTAAAGTATATTTTCTAAGGTACAAGGCTAGAGGTGGTAGCTTTTTTTTTTTTTTTCTTTTACAGTATGTCATGAGCAGGTAATGAGGTGGTAGCTTTTAATATAACTGGTACTGAGATTCAAAAAATAGTTCAAACGAACCATGTAGTTACAATGAAGAAGCTGGTTTCAAAAATCCTTTTCTTTCTAGGGTTTTTTGTAGCAGATGCTACATTTTCTTTTTTTTTTTTTTTTTTTTTTTCCTAATAGGTCAAGTAGAAAGATGCTACATTTTCTAACTAAAATACTTTTACTGGTTCAACAAAAATGTACTGAAAAACAACTATACACAAAGTACACTACCAGAATCTATACAAGTCACAAAGAGACTAATGAAATAAACTAATAGTTTTATTAGAGTCAATGGTATTCTAGAAGCATAGTATTCACATGATTTGGTGTAACACTTGTCTAGCTATCTCATGACTAAAGTAACTGATACATAGAGGGCAAAACCAAAGAAAGGGTTAAGAAAATATTTGTATAATTGGTTGAAACTTAGAAAATAATATATTTTCCAGCTTGGTATGTATAAAGCCCACCTGGATCCAATAAAATTCCAAATGATTAACTTTCATAATTATATGAATCAGGAATAAGCCTGGGAATATGGGTTTGCATTAGGTCATAAATGGTTAAACGTGAGAAAAACAGGCCATTTCAACTGCTCTATCTCTTCCTTTTCCCTCTTCATTCCCATGATCCCATGTTCTATTTAAGGTTTGCTCTTTTAAGACCCAAAGTAACAAAATCAAAACTAATTTCCCTTCTCAACTGCTACCAAAGAATAGCCAGAATCACTGGATATAGTGAAGGTTTAGAAACCATTACTAAAATCATAAACTTTATATGGAAACATCATTTTATAAACTTGTTACATGCCGTTTCCTATTAGAAATACAAAACGCAGGGGAAGTAGGCTGAGGTGGAAGAGATTTACTTATGGCTTATCTATTCAAGTCCAACAGAGAGGGGAATTTAGGAAAAAGGCTTCCCTAAATGAAGTGAATCTTAAGCAGACATTTCTACTGATGCTTGAGAATATATAATTTAATTAACTATTTTGGTAGTTACACAAAAATGTAAATCATTTAAAATTAGGTTTAAAATGTATCTTTATTGGGCAATCAATATGGAACAAGCTATTTTCTTAGTTAAGGAAATGCAAGCACACATTCTAAAGCTTATCTTGACCATAAATTGATTGTACAAGGTAGATAAAGCTCAGGCTCTAGTGTCACACTGCCTGGATGCTAACCCTGCCACTTGTTCGCATGGTAGCCTTGGGGATGTTGCTTAACCTCTCTGTGCCTCTATTCTTATTTGTAAAATGGTGATAAGAAGGTCTACATTCATGAGATTGTTTTAAAGATTAAATAATATAATCCATATAAGTATCTGGCACATAGTGCGGAAAAAATGTTATTTCTATGGAAATTATTGAATATTATTATCATTAAATCATCGTATTTGGTTTTATTGTTTTTAAGGTAGTGTACTCCCTTATGTCCCCACATTCTCTATATCATAAATCCAAATAGATTCACCAATGTAAATTCTCACCTTCATTTTGTTCAAATTCATCTAACACTTTGTCCAGGTTGTAAGCTTCTGCTTGGAAGTAATTCTCCATCGGTGAGGAAACACCACTTAAGAGACTTGTTTAAATCTAAAATGTAGATCAAATTCTATTACACTTTGAATTATTAAAATGAAATTCATAAATATTAACTATACAAGGATAAAAATCTCTTCTAAATCTATTCAGACAATGGTTAACTATAAAACCTTTCATCCCACTGGATACAAGATCTTCAAGCTAAGAAAGTCTATAAATCTATAAGCTGACAAGCATCAAAATATAACTAAACATAAAAGGCAGACTTGGTGATCATTTCAATAGGACATACTTCAAAAGACAAATTTCAGGTGAAGCACAGTGGCTTACACCTATAATCCCAACACTTTAGGAGGCTGAGGCAGGAGGACTGCTTGAGGCCAGGAGTTTGAGACCAGCTGGGCAACAAACCGAGACCCTGTACCCTGTCTCTACAAAAAAAATTTAAAAATTAACCAGGGGTGGTGGAGCACACCTGTAGTCCTTGCTACCTGGATGAGCCAGGAGGATCCCTTGAGCCCAGGAGTTTGTTACAGTGAGCTATGATCATGACTGTGCTACTCCAAAACATAAAACAAAACAAAAAAAACCAAAAAACAACAAAAACTATTCATACATTACATAGCCTATTTGTCTACCTAAACTTAAATACCTAACAGTAGCCAATTGATAAATAAAAATTGACTAAATTAATAATTCTGGAGAAATACTTGAATAAGTCAGTTAAATTCCCTGAGCTTGTTTTCTTATTTGTAAAATGAGAGAAATAATATGACACTTTTATATACCTCAGAAAAGAACAGGCCGGGTGCGGTGGCTCACGCCTGTAATCCTAGCTCTCTGGGAGGCCAAGGCGGGCGGATTGCTCGAGGTCAGGAGTTCGAAACCAGCCTGAGCAAGAGCGAGACCCCGTCTCTACTATAAATAGAAAGAAATTAATTGGCCAACTAATATATATAGAAAAAATTAGCCGGGCATGGTGGCGTGTGCCTGTAGTCCCAGCTACTCAGGAGGCTGAGGCAGGAGGATTGCTTGAGCCCAGGAGTTTGAGGTTGCTCTGAACGAGGCTGACGCCATGGCATTCACTGTAGTCTGGGCAACAAAGTGAGACTCTGTCTCAAAAAAAAAAAAAAAAAATTCCACTAAGGACAAACTCTGGCCTGTTTTTCAACTACATAATTATGTTTAGTAAAATCATCTTGTGGAATTGGGCATAAAACAGCCAAGGCTAATTTCCTGTTTATCTTTGCTTTTATAGAATGCATATTATATTATAAAAAGTATTGATACATAAAGTGAAAGGGCTGAAATACCACATTTCTAAGCACACAAATTTTTCTAGATTGTAAAAGACAGATAAAAGGATACTTTAAAAAAAAGGAAAGAAGAAACACTGTATTTATAAGTCAAAGAAAATTTTATATTTGACTTAAAGTTTGTAATGGTAGAATATTACATTTCTGATTTTCCCCCTTTTTCACGTTTTCGTACTCAGCCTTTATGGGAAAATTATAATCTGACCTTCCTTCTCATATATACCAATACAAAGCCAAGCAGAATTTTCTTTCAGTTTGGAAAGAAAATTTTTAAAATTTTTCTTTTGAAATAGGTAAGCATGGAGATGTGATAATGGATGAAAAAAATAGGATAATAGCTAACGTTTATTTAACACCTACTGTGCACTCTTGGCATTCTGTTAAGTAGCTGACACACCTAGTATAGACTCCCATAGGATGCTTTTGGATGGATGAACACTAAGGAAAGTTTGGGAATGGTATTTAAAAGAAAAGGTTTAAAAATAACCAGATTAGGGTCATCATTAGCATTTGGAACTAATTCCCTCACCCCCATGCTTAAACTTTCCTGTTATTTCTCTTTTGAAAAAAATTCTATAAGCTTTCTTTTACAAATGTAATTTTATACCAAATAAAATGTGTCCTTTCCCAATATCTGTAATTTGTCTTTGTTTGTTTGTTTGTTTGTTTGTTAAGAGACAGGGTCTTACTCTGTTGCCTGGGCCAGAGTACAGTGGCATAATCATAGCTCACTGTAACCTCAAACTCCTGGGCTCAAGGGATCCTGCTGCCTCAACCTCCTGGGTAGCTGGCACTAGGCATGCATGCCACTGTCTCTTATTATATGAATAGTTTTAAAAAAAATCTTTTTTGTCTAATTATTTATAGATCAAAATCATTTTATATACAGGCCACTTCATTTTGATAAAGACTGTACATTTAATCTGTCTACTAATGCTAAGAGCAAATGAAATTTCTCACAACACATAATCTAGCACATTCAATATACACCTATAAGACTTAACAGTATTTTATGGTCATTATATATAAAACATTAGTAAGCAAATAATCAGATCAATATATTTATTGTACATCTACTATATGCAAGGTACTATGATCAATTCAAGTCTCAGACATCATCCCTAACATCAAAAAGCTTATAATTTAAAGAGTAAATGCTAAAAAAATTAAATAATAAATGATTTTTAATAACAGCACAAGAGAAACCAAGTCAGATAAAATAAAAATAAAAATAAAATAAAACAAAAACCAAGTCAGAAACCTTGTCAGATAAATAGATAAGTGCTATAGAATAAGCATTACAGAAGTATAAAGGTTATTTAAGTTCATCATTTTTCATTTGAGCTCTTGGCTCAAATATCACTTTCACCGGGAAGTATTCTCTGAACACCCAGAAAAGGTGATGCCTCTTCTTGTAATCTCTCACAGCACCCCTATATTTCTTTTCTTTTACAATATTTATCACCATTTATAAATATACATCAGTGTGATTATTTGATTAACGGTCATCACTCCCACGAGACAGTAGGTACCACAAAGGTACCCACCAGACTGTGTTCACCATGTATTTCCAGTAATTAGCACAGAACCTGAGGTGGTATCTATTCAATTAATACCTGTGGAATGAATAAATAAATGAATAATTTATGAACAACCAGTCGATAAGTTGTACTAAGCTTCAATTACAATAACTGATTCAGGCAAGCACCATGCTAAACCATTAGGTAAATGGTGATTGCAGAAGAAAATACTCATAGTACCTCAAAGTATCATTCTATAGGTAAATTGTTAATTTCAAAGGAGGTAATGTATGTTTACAATGAAGAGACACAGCAATCACCACCTTAACCAAATGATTTAACTTAGCATCACCAACAGTTCAACAAGTTGACATTACGTATTTTCTAATGTGACTCAATGAGAAATATAAAACATTACCTATACAGTATTCTTGCCAAAAATAATTACCCTGAATTTAACCATGAGGAAACAATTAGACAAATCTAGAATGTGAGGCATTCTATACTTGAACTCTTTAAAAAATTCAATGTAAAAAAATTTTTTTAAAGTATAAAAAAACAAGATCATTCTAAATTAAAAGAGACTAAACAGAATAGATAATCAAATACCATGCATGAACACTGAGTAGATCAGGGATGGGGAACCTGCAGCATTAAGGCCACATGTGGTCCTTAAGTGTGGCCTTTTGACTGAATCCAAATTTTATAGATCAAATCCTCTTATTTTTATTAATACATTTTCACTTGTCTTTTATATTTTTATTTTATTTTTTTTTTTTATTTATTTTTTTTTTTGAGACAGAGTCTCACTTTGTTGTCCAGGCTAGAGTGAGTGCCGTGGCGTCAGCCTAGCTCACAGCAACCTCAAACTCCTGGGCTCCAGTGATCCTTCTGCCTCAGCCTCCCGGGTAGCTGGGACTACAGGCATGCGCCACCATGCCTGGCTAATTTTTTTTTTATATATATATCAGTTGGCCAATTAATTTCTTTCTATTTATAGTAGAGACGGGGTCTCGCTCTTGCTCAGGCTGGTTTTGAACTCCTGACCTTGAGCAATCCGCCCGCCTCGGCCTCCCAAGAGCTAGGATTACAGGCGTGAGCCACAGCGCCCGGCCTTATTTTATTTTTTAAATGAACATGTTTAAAATACTAAAGAATAAAATAAATTTCAATGAGATAATCCTCCCAGATTAACTGGCACAATTAGAACATTAGTAAGCCATAAGGGCTAAATTGATGGCTGCCACATTCATGATTGAGTTCTAACTTCCCCTGCCTGACTGGTACCAGTACACCAGTCTGTTACCACTTTTGACAATGGTATACTGTGTTTCTGTTTGAAGTGGAATTTGTGAATAAGTTGCACAGCTCAACAGTATTTTTTAATTCTGTCTGCTTAACAGTCCATCATGTTAAAGACAACCAAGAGAATGCTGAAGGAAGAAAACAGAATTTTTAATGACTGGGAATTGCAATATCATCTTGTTTCTGCTAAAGATAAGATGATTTGCTTGCTTTTTGATACTGCAATATCAACATTAAAGAAATTCAACACTTATCAGCATTGCAATACAAGGACCACAAATATTTTAGAGGGGAGGTGTGAAAAATTGTACTGCAGAAATTAAAAGATGAAAAGCAAAAGCAAAGAATTTATTCAAGCAGCAATAAGACCTGGAAACAATGAAACTGGAACAACTTATAACATATCTTATATACTTAGGAAAAAAGGGAAGCCATTCAATGATGTAGAAGTTGTGAAAGAATGCACTGTCAAAGTTATAGGATGCTTAGACCCCAATAACATTTCAAAGTGCAAACAACTGCCTCTTTCAAGGAGAACCATAACTTATCATCAGCAGGAATTAGCCTTCAACTTAACAGAACAGCTTCATGCACTACTTCAAAAGGAAAATATATGTTATTCAATTGTTTTGTATGAATCAACTGATACTTCTCACAGGTTTTATACTTCATTTAGGTCATAACAGAAGATTTTCTTTGCTATGAAGAGTTACTCACTTTGGGCACTTATACAAACAGAATACAGGGAATAGATCTCTTCAACAACTTTCAAGATAAATGTCATGATGCTGGACTGAATTTGGTAAATTTAGTGAGTGTATGTACAGATGATGACAGATTTACTGCACAGACAAAAGAAGTATTAACAGATCCAGATGCTCTCATTTATTTTCATTGTATCTTGTAGCAGCAAAATCTCTATGCTAAACCTACTATTTTAAGTGACACTTTGCAACAATATATAAGTATTGTTAACTATATTAGTGCAGATGCAACACAGCATCATCTTCAGTTCATAACATGCTACAGTTGAAGGATGAGGTGTTCAGTGTGGCTTTGTCATATCATTCTAAAATGTATTGGCTATTGCAGAGACAGGGGTTAGCCAAAATTTTATCTCTGCAAGGATAGTTAAATTTTATGAAGAAAAGAATCAGCAATGTGAATTATTCAAAGATTTCTATAGGAATGTAGCATTTCTGTGTGATATCATGTCAAATCAAAATGACTTGAATATTTCTTTGCAAGGTAAAATTAAGTCTGTATGATACGTGGCAAAAGATCCAAGTATTTCAAAAAAAGCTATCTTTTTTCAAAACACTTCAAAAGGAAAATTTCGGGTGAACATTTTCTCTAGTTGGCAAAAGTCACTGATGTGCAGGATGATATATGTGAATCATTTAAAGAATACCCAGCTGTTATAGACCTATTAATTGGAGAATACAATGAAAAGTTCACTGACTTTCAGAATCATGACATCACAAACAAATTAGCATTTCAGCCTCACCTAGTTGATATCACCAAGGCACCTAAAGAACTACAGATGAAATTGATTGCACTCTCAGTAGATGACATTTTAAAGTCATTGTTTGGCATTAAGAAAGATCCATTTGAAATATTGAAACATGCAGTAGAATACCCACGCCTTTGGCAACATGCCTGAAAAATGCTGTCTTGGTTTTCAACCACTTATTGCTGCGAATCTACATTCTCTTACCTAACCCAAATCAAAACACCCTTAAGGGCACAAACAACTGATACCCATATAAAGAATCAACTGAAACTGCAAACCTCCTGCACTGTAACCAAATATTCAAATATCTTCCAACAAAAAGCAGACACAACAAAGTCATTAAAAGGTTAGTTAACTTTAAAATTAACAAATAGTTTTCATTTTTTGAAATTATTAAGTACCTAGTAGTTAGATTGTTACAAAATAATGCACATTTTTGAAGTATATCTAATTGAAGTTTCTTAAATGCAGGCTTAATTTGATTACAGCTAAATTAATGCAGCCTTCCAATATGAAAAGGTTTCCCACTCCTGTATTAGGACAGTATTATTCAAGGTAGCAATCTTCAAGAATATCATAAACCAACCCACTTCCTTCATGGACAAAGACTTGCTACCAAAACTGTCTGCTGAACTATACAGAAGTCTTTATCTCTGCATGGAACAGCTCAAGAAAGGTAGCTGGTTGGTAGGTCGTGCCTAGGTTGAGACAGCAGTAATGAGAACAAAAGTTGAGGAGGTATGTTCAGTCTATTAAGAAACACAGACCTGGAAGTGGCACACATCATTTCTGTTCACATTCCTTCAGTGAGCTTAGTCACACAGCCACATCTACCTGTAAAGAAGGCTGGTGAGACTGCCCTATCCCAGCTGCAACTACTATAGAAGGGGAAAATGGATTTTGGTGGGTTTGGTGGATAACTGACAGTATTAAAATATTTGCTACAGTGGATGGAAAACTTCCTGAAGAGGCAATGCCCGAAGGATAAGATTTTGCCAGGTAAAGGCAGAGAAGGGCATTCCCTTCTCACACTCCCATGTAAGAAGGCTAGGGGACAAGAAATAGCATGCTAACTGCAGACCCAGAAGTTGTGGTGAAGAAGATATCACTGCCAAGTGCCTCTGCTCCATCATCAACTGAAGAGAAAAGGGGCTCCGTTTCCTGTCAAACACTGTTGGTCCCATGCCTTTCCTCACAGCTAACATGGAAAAAATCAGAGAACTCAGCCAGAGTATGCAACATTCCACTAGTGAATGTTATAACCAATTTCTGAAACCAATCTCACCTGCACATCCTCCCACCATTATCTACCCCATAAACAGTCTTAAGACTGGAAAAAACACCTAAGATGATTCCTAGTCAGGAAAAAAACAAGGATTCCTGCTCTACAAGATTAACACAACACTTCCAATTTTCTGCTGGAAATTATTGCTCTTCACTAGTCTAAAATATAAAATAAAATAATGTAATTAAATTTACACTTCTGATTCCCCATCCCCAAATTAGCTTTAACTGTTGAGCTCTTGCATGATGACTAAGAAACATAAATGACCATAGTTGACCAGATATACTATCGTTTTCTCTGAACAATATTGCTCAAATCCATGTTCTTTTTTTCTGAAATTATCATTTTATGCTCAAAGTAACGGGAAGTTGACTAAAAGGGAAGAGCCAGCACTAGTAGAGAAATTAGCTTTGTGACATAATTTAACAATTTTAAAATATCCTTTTCCTCTGGATTTAAATCAAACTGTTCTGAAAAATTATACTCCTGATTTAACAAAACACAATGTTATAAATGAAGCAAGCAGTATATATACATCAGCATTATTTTCTATAGAGCTGGCTAGTTGTTTTCTCAAGATCAACCTCTAAGAGAAATAAAAGCATTACTTTTCTTACCTTTTCCTCCTTACACATGTGATAAGGAACAGACCTCTCTGTGCTTACTCATGATGCTTGCTGCACCACCAGTCAGTCCTGCTGATTCAGTATGTTCTGCTTGATCCTAAAGAAAAAACACATTGCTCATTACATTTGCTAAAACAATAAGCCCTAATTTTCTTCATATAAATCTATCACAGCCAGACAAATAAAAGCAATGGGGCTTAACAATTAATTACACCTTCAAATTCAAAGACCTGGCCAGCATGCAAGGCAGCAGAAGTCACATTTTATTGTCAAAGAAGGCCAAAAGTGAAATGATTCAAGAGTTAAGAACTTTGGCCCCCATATTTTCAATGGATGATGCAAGGTGAAACATCAACAGCAGGCACTTTCTATCCAGTGACTTTAATTATGTTAATTCATAATTATACAACTTGCTTTATATTACAATAGGCCCTCCAAAAATCCAAACTAAGAAAACTGATGCTTCACAAAAATATCCTGTTAGCGTGATTTTTTTTCTATACATCCAAAATTCTTGAGTTTCATAAGCTTCCTGCTGAGATTTTTATTGCCAAACTGGTTTTCCTCCAAAAGGAGTGTCTTTTGATTCTATTTCTCCTCCAATGCTCAGAAGCAATGGATCTATTAACCCAATATTAACCTTTATTATCAGGGGTATCCATCAGGAGAAATTTCCTAACATAATTACAAATATTCTATTATCTGATATGAAAAATGATGTGCTTACTAAAAAATAATAGAGTAAGAAAAAGAGGCCGGGCGCGGTGGCTCACACCTGTAATCCTAGTACTCTGGGAGGCCAAGGTGGGCGGATTGCTCAAGGTCAGGAGTTCAAAACCACCCTGAGCGAGACCCTGTCTCTATAAATAGAAAGACATTAACTGGCCAACTAATATATATAGAAAAAAAATTAGCCAGGCATGGTGGCACATGCCTGTAGTCCCAGCTACTCAGGATGCTGAGGCAGTAGGATCGCTTGAGCCCAGGAGACTGAGGTTGCTGTGAGCTAGGCTGATACCATGGTACTCACTCTAGCCTGGACAACAAAGTGAGACTCTGTCTCAAAATAAATAAATAAATAATAAAAATAAAAAGATTTTCCTGTCCTGAGAATTTGTAAAATATATGCATGCCATGATACACTCTACATAAGAACAGTTATTGATAACAAACAGATTTACATCTGTCAAATGAAGGACTAAATCATATCCAAGTATTGAAAGGACTGTATCGGGTATAAAAGTACCAAGGTCAAAATGGCAGATCTGTTGCTATTCTGAGCAAGATACCTGACTCTAAGTTTCTTTATACTTCATATAAAAACTATATTTTTCAGAATATTTTTAATGATGAAGAAGAATGTGTTTATATAAAGCCCCTTGCACAGACCTGATATATAAGTGCTCAGTAAATAGTAGCTATTATTATTCATCATCAAAAAGCAATTTGTGTGAAAGAATTAGAACACAAAGGCAAATAGTATGATTTGTACCATGAAAACAACCAGTGGACTGGTTTGTTTCTACAGTTAATAATCCATCAGGGCCAATGACCTTAAGTGATCAATTCAAGTCTGAACAATGAAATAGAAAAATAGGAACAAAAAAGTAATCTGACTGCTCAACTTTCTGAAGAGGCTTAGTAAATTTGATCCCCAAAAGAGACCCTTTGAATATAAATGCCCTTACAGTGGCTAAAAAAAGAAATGAGATAATCTCCAAGAAGAGTTCAGATCAAGACCAAAGTACATTAACAGAGCAGGATCTGGGAAGTTGACATTGTTGCTACGCCACATTCACACAGGGCTTCAGTTTCCAGGATATCAATCTGGCATCTTTCACAAACATTGAATCCTCAGTCAAGCGCTATAAAGAACAAGGTGATTGTTTTCACTTAGGACACACTAAACAAAAAACCTAGTAGTTCAACAAATATTGGAAAACATGATAACAGATGTATCAAATATATATAGGCAGTGAAATCCCTAGAATAGCAGCTGATTTAAGATCAGGACTAAAACAAGGAGCATGTTTAATTCTCATGTCTGGAGTAGTAAGACTCAAAACCATGTAAACAAATTTGTACATTTATGACACAGGGCCAGAAACTATTGAGATATACATCTCTGTGATAGTTAACTTTACATGTCAACTTCACTGGGCTAAGGAATGCCTAAATATCTGATTAAACATTATTTCTGGGTATGCCTATGGGAGTGTTTCCAGAAGAGATTAGCATGTGAATTAGATTGAGTAAACCAGATTGCTCTCCCCATGATACACACACACACATATTTATAAATCATTCTGCATGTGTATGTTTGTGTGTATGTAATAAGATTTATTATAAAGCTCATGCACTGGCTCATGCAATTATGGAGGAAGAAATTGTCCATTGATCTGCTCTCTGCAAGCTAGCAAGCCCTATCTCCCACTGGATCTGATTCTCTGAAGAATCTATAGTAGTATATAGATTTTCCATGAGAGAACCATTAATCAACATCATATTAGCCTAAGTCCATAACTCTAATTTCTAGACAGCAGATATCTATTGAATTATCTTTGCCAATAGAATGCTAGAATTGTCTATCCCCATCCCATACATACGCACATATTTTTATTGCAAGATAAAATGCCATGTTCAGGGGAAACCTAGCCACCTAAACAGCTTATTAGCCTAGTGTGAACTCCTGATCTAAGATGAATTACAGACCCTTCTAGGCTATGTCTGGGAGACACAGCTACAATCACTGCCTTTAAATTCTGTGATATATCGTAGTATCCTTATAAAATTCCCCTTTTTTTCCTAACTTAGCTCCAGTGGTTGCCTTAACAACAGTATGATATAAATTGAGATAAACAACATCAAAATCATAGTCTCAACTTTAATAGCACACCTAAAATTTCAAAGATCAGATACTACACTAACTCAGATATTCTATGATCAGCAAGTAGATAATAAATAAGAAATAAATTCATGGAGAGAGGAGTGAGTCTTATGTTTCAGATTATTCTGGGTAGCAGACTGATAGATATAATTTGTATATCACAAATTGTATACACCAAGAGTAATAACAAGAGTATATGTAGACTTTTAGTTTCTGGATCAGCATGTAAGAAGCTGAGAAGTCACTGCTCTGCCTTATCAACAAAGTAATAAGCTAAATAAACTGAAAAATCAGCGACTCTTCTTAGATCCATAAAAGTAGTAAGGTAATGGGGCAGACCACTGCCCCAAATTTGGAGAGACAGACAGGTGAATACAAAAAAAGTCACACATTAGCCAGGCATGGTAGTGGTAGCTCAGGCCTGTAATCCTAGCACTTTGGGAGGCCAAGGCAGGAGGATCACTTGAGCCCAGGAGGTTGAGACTAGCCTGGGCAATAATGAGACCCTGTCTCTACAAAAAATTTAAAAAGTAGGCAATCAAGGTGGTGCACACCTATAGTCCCAGCTACCCAGGAGGCTGAGGTAGGAGGATTGCTTCAGCCCAGGAGTTGGAGGCTACAGTGAGCTACGATGACGCCACTTCACTCCAGCCCAGGTAACAGAGTGAGACTCTCAAAAAAAGTCACAAATTACCTGAGCAGAAAACCTCTGTGGGAACCAGTGCTAAGGTAGGAAAGCTTGAAATATAATCGATAAATTGCTGGAGGCTTAGTGTGGACAACTCTGAGAGTTAAAATCTCTAGGGGGACCTGGTCTTAGGTGACCCCCCCCCCAACTTTTGTGAGTGTTACCTCCATCCAGGAGCTCAACCTGGTTCTCACAGTGAATATTGGAGAAACTCCCTGCACCCATTCTTCTGGCAGACAGAGGGGCAAAGGAACCATTTTGAAATATGCTATAGCATTCTGTTCCTAACAAAGTCTGCTCTCAGGAGAAACTAACCAGAGACTAACTTGCTGGGGTCATATCAGAGCCTGACTGACCTGGCTGATGGGAAATACCCAATTCTAGCCCACGCTAGCCTGCCCCCCCCTAAATGGAGGAAAAAATTGAGAAGCATTTGTGAAGTTCTCAGTCCAGAGGCACGGGATTGCTAAGACTGAGACTTAATCACAGAACTATAGAATGCTTCCCTCCAAACCATATCACATTACTAAAGACCTATTTACAATAGTACATCATGTCCAACTATCAAGAAAATATTACAAGGCATAATAAAAGGCAAAAAAAAAAAACACCTTGAAGAGACAGAGTAAGCATAACAACCAGACTCAGATATGGCAGGGATGTTAGAATTATCAGACCAGGAATTTACACCAAATATGATTGATATGCTAAGGGCTATAATGTGCAAAGTAGACATCATGCAAAAACAGATGGGCAGTTAAAGTAGAGAGAAATTCTAAGAAAGAACCAAAAAGAAATGCTAGAGAACAAAAGCACTGTAATAGAAATGAAGAATGCCTTTGACGGACTTATTAGGAGACTGGATATGGTTGAGGAAAGAATCTTTAAGCATGAGAATCTCTCAAAAGAAACCTCCGAACTTGAAAGTCAAAGAGGAAAAAACAGGCTGAAAAAAAATAGAACAGAAATACAAAAACTGTGGGACTACAAAAGGTGTAGCATAAGTGTAATGGGAATATCAGAAGAAAGAGAAAGAAAAAAAGAAATATTTGTCATAATGACTGAGAATTTATCCCAAATTAATATCAGATACCAATCCACAAATCCAGGAAGCTCAGAGGGCACGAAGCATGATAAATGCCCCCCACCAAAAAAAAAACTACACCAAGGCATATCATATTCAAACAATAGAAAATTAAAGATAAAAAAATCCTGAAAGAAACAAGAGGAGGGAAAAAACACCTTACCCACAGAGGAGCAAAGGTAAGAATTACACCCAATTTCTCCTCCGAAACCATGTATGAAAGGAGAGGAGTGAAATATTTAAAGTGTCAAAAGAAAAAAAAAAAAAAACAACAACCTAGAAATCTGTACCTCCACAAAATTATCCTTCAAAAGTGAAGGAGACTATATCAATAATCACTTCAAACATCAATGCATTAAATGCACCGATCAAAACACAGATTAGATTGTCAGAAAGATCAAATATTAATAAGACACAATTATATGTTCTCTATAAGAA